TATGTTTTGACTTTCTTAGAAAATATGAAATTATCGCTTTAAGTTTTCATTTTGGACATCTGCTTCGTCGTCAGATTCATCTAATAATTCACTATCGCCGTTCGAACTGTCAAAATTTACCCCAGAATCTTCGTAATTATTGTTCTTTTTGTTATCGTTCTACTGATCGACCTCTAAAACTAGGGCATCAATGTCACTCGACGCATTCGCTTTATCGGCACATTCCGGGGTTTCTTGTCTAAACATCGAATTCGCCTTCCTCTGAACGTATTTGTGCTTCTATACTTTTTAATAGGCATTTTAGCTTCAATAATCAGTAAAAGTCAGCTTTATTTTTGTGTTTCTAAGCATTTCCAGGAGTTCGGTAAGAATAGTAGTGTGCGTATGCACGCTGGTTAAAAATTACTAGTCTCTATCATTCAGACAAATATTCCTAGAATATTAGTCTGGATGTGTGGTCAACATTTGAAAATAATAGGTCATTGGCTAGATTATCCGGTCTTTGACATTGTCGTGAAAAGGTCTAAGGAAGGTAACTATCCCTACAAAAAGATGTCAACGCCCATGAAATTAATTGTCATTTCAGAAAATCTGTTTGCATTGCCAGTTCATTATCCAGCACTCTTTAATATTTTTTATTGTAAAATTTCTCTCTTCATGGATCATATTTAAATTAATCCTAATTTGTCGTCAAGATTCATGTTTATTTACAATAATGCATGAATTCCGAGATTTATTTCGGGAAGGGCACAACTCTTACCTGACTTCCCGAAAAATACTGGATAATCAATCACATAAAAAAAAGGTCACTCATGGGCAATAGAACATTTCGCCAAATGTGGACAACAGATCCAGACCCTTCGTAAGTTGAAGACTAGAAGGTTCTGGCTAACCGAGACTAAAAAGATTACCCGTATCCACGTGGTCATAGACTCGAATACGGTTTATTTATAATATTTTCCCACGCTTCAAAAAGATACCAGAATGGCGACGATCCGTTGATTTCGATAAAGTTACGAGGGGGTGAATTTAGGCAATATTTTAAAGACAAAAGATTAATTACGAATAATAGTTAATATAATCATTTTCGGGAGAAATTAAGACTTAAAACAAGTTTAGTACACTTTATTCAAGCAAGATTTCATGTAAACAACATTTTTAATTACATTTCAAACGCAAGTGCGAACGATAACCAAAGAAATACGTCAATATGCAACACCAATTGACAAAGAGACAATACATAATGAGGAATTCTCACTTATAGAGTAGACGCCGCTGGCAATCGATATCGATTTTACATATCTTGTATGCAGGTACTTGAACTATCAATTTTTAGGTGATAACCAAGTAAGTATATTATAATCGGGAGAATCATGGATATACTTGGGATAGATTCGTGACATACGATCTGTGTTGCAGCATTCATGTTTTAGGATAGAAAGCACGTCTTCTGTCAGGCTTTGTTCGCTGATGTCCAACAAAATGGACCTTGCGTCTTTTTTGATTGAAGGATCAGTAAAGGTGGCATGAAGAGGGACTGTTTGTTCTTATACCCTCTCTAACATTTCGTAGTTGCTGTTCCACCTAGTTTCAACATCTTGGATTAAATATGTTCAGGATAACCCAATTCTATTTTGTTTTGTGTGCAACATGTTCGTTGCAAGTGCGCTCTTTTTAAAGAATCCAACAAGTTGTCGACAACTTGTCAGGAGCACTGTTAACTGTCTGTTTGCTGCTATTACGGCTTTAACGGCCGGGTTGAGCGTATGTGCAAAACATGAAAGATGATGAGTGGACGTTTGATCAAATTTAGATACTGCCTTTGCGATATTTGAGGCATTGTCGATAGGATTGATGAAAAATGGCTAAATTTAAATTATTTCCCTTTCTTGAAAGAAACAGTTTTATAGGAAATAATAACAATAAAATAAAAAAATTTGAAATTTGCTTGGCCATTCTTTTTTTTCCGTTCAGTTTCCTCTGCTGTTTTTGTTCTTAAAGATATCACATTATTGAAAATTAGATAAAGAGCTGACAGTTGTCAATATACTAGATAAAAACTAGATGGCGTAAATGGGTTATGCTGAAAATAGCAGTCAAATGATTTCACTGAAGCCGAAAAAACCTCGATTGTCATTGTTGCCGCCACGATTATGAAATTTGTTCTAAAAAATGGGCTTTTCTCCAAATTGCATCAGTGCAACTGGTAGACAATGGTCAATTGGTAACTCTCATGAAATCAATGAATTATATCAGCTGTTACTATTTATTTTTAGAACATTAAGCTAGATATAATTTTTACCTGTCTAAAGTGATCCAGACCTAAAGCTTTATTCTTGAGGGGACGGGTTGGGTGGCTGAAGGTCTGGCATTGAGTCAAGTGCTGTGGTTTCTAGGTCCTCCGGTTTCCTTCGAGCTAGTCAATTATTGAAATAAAATTGAACCATATGTTAGTCCTAAAATGGCCTAATTTGTGTACAAGTCTGTGCTCGAAAACTCTAGCATCAATATTGGAAACAACAGTTGTATTTCAACTAAGATGTGAAAACTGAGTCTATGGGATATTAATTTTAAGGTAGCTTAGAGTCTAATAGATGATTATGAATACTGTATAATAAAATGTTTGAAAGAACTGTATTTCTCACTTATGTGAGCAGTCGGCATAGTCGTCATCGTTGTCCGTGTCAAACTTTTCATTTGAATTTTGATATCATACTATGTACTCAACTAATTGTGTAATATATAGAGAATCTCCTACCAGTCTTTTTTGATATCAAAAACGACGAGTAGGAGATTTTATTATCATAATACCCAATCCCTTCTTACACAGGGTTCGTACACTAAAATGTGAATGAAATTCCATGACTTTTCCTTGACTTTCCAGGACCAAAATTAGAGCATTGCACTGAAGTTTGTCTATGCATGTTTACTGAATAAATTTGCACGAATAAGCTAATCTACATCGTCATGCAAAGAAATCAACTTCTTGCAAATTATGAAACTTTTATTAATACCAATATTCACTGAAATTACCAAATAAAAGTCGGGCTACAATCTGAGTAGTAAAGCATCAAGTACTTTAAAGTTCAATTATTCACTGCGAAGTTAATGATTGGGATTTCCTACTTTCGGTTTTAGTGCCAAAACTATCACAACGTGAACTAGAACTTTCTGTTGAAATTTCAGTTGCACTACCCCCTGTTTGACCCGAAGATGAGGCAAAACAACTGACCAATAGGAGTCTGACCACACTCTTTTAATTTTCTGTAATTATCTAAATGTGTTTCGCCCTTCGTGTGGCTTTTTACTTACAGCTGCTTCCCCCATATTAGATATATCAAAAGACTTCTGACATGCGCAACATCGGGCTTTTCGTGAATTAGTTTTGTCACGCATCAACCATGAACAGGAATCAGTTTTTGTCATCTAACAGTCTTGAAATGTACATTTACCGGGAATTTTAATATTGTTGTAGTTAGTTGGGTATAACAAAGAGAATTCATCACGCTATTCGAAAGCAAAAACACAACTAATAACTGAAAGGGAGATAATTCAGCCAAGTCTGCGTGACTGCTGGTCTCAGACTAGCAATTATTTGCCCATTGACTTCAATGTTAAATGACTGTAACATCACAGGCTGTAGCTTTTTGCTCAACATTCCGTTGGTTCCAATCTTTATAGGCACAATGGGGACAACATTTGGCAATCTCCTCATCATAATTTTGTAGGGGTTGACCATTTAGATTTTTTGCTACACAGATTTGAAGTTGACAGGGGTGGAAATCTCACTTCCGACACAATGATTGCTCTGCAGAAAGACACTTTACACCCCCTATCCCTCCGCTGTAATATCATCAGTATTACCCAAAACTGCTATGAAATTGCAAATTTGATCCCTTTTCTCCAATTCTAGACCAAAAAGTCAACCCAAAAATGCAGGAAGAGGGGAGAAAAAAATTAAGGGAAAAATTGTCTATTTATAACTCGCACTACATTCGTCCATCATGAAATAAGGGGAAATAAATACTAGTCTTAGTCCTATATACCTCACATGTTTCTGCAGTTTAAACAAATCTGTTGTTATGCAGTTTAAACAAATCTGTTGTTATCTAATAAACAAACATATATGCAATTCCCTGGCCAAAGAATATGAAAATCTATGCATTTTCAGATGAGCTGTGCGGCATTCTGCAAACACTATAATACATCAGAAAACTGCGGAATTTCAGACAGAAATTTAAAAGCACATGAATTTTGAATTAAACAGAATATTTTTATTTTTGAACATAAATGCATTCTGTAAAAAGATGAGATAAATTCAATATAAATCTAACACGAAAATACTTTAAAACAGTAATCATGATGCAATATTAGACTATTTAACACTTTCATCGAAAACCACACAGTTTTTCTCTGTTAACGTAGTTTCAAGTGCCAAATTGTGGTCAAATCTAAAATGTTGAAACATGCAGTGCCTATCAATTTTAAAATATCTCCTATATAGCTGTATTTCCATAGTATAAGTAAGTTGAAATAATCTGATTATGTAACACTACAACAGCTTTTTCATCCCCACCCCCCAGTTTGGAATCTGATACATTGCTGACCAATCATAGGTCGCCCCGTTCACTCGGGCCTGTCAAATGATTTACAATGGCGATGGTGCCTACAACTTTCCTGACCAAGAGATATGCACAACCGTCGATCAACACACAAGCCATTAATGTTATCTTCCAATATGAGAGGCCATGATAAACACACTAGCGTCCTTTTCAAGCTCGGAAATTAAGTCATCACCAAAAAGCAAAGTTTACAAAGGTCCTCGGGGCTGGAACCCAAACTGATTACGATTTGCCCTCCACTTCCACCACAGGTGTCATAGAGATCAGGGATGAAATTGATATGCATCATCGTTCTCCTAAAGCCAGAACATTTTTATTTTTGAACATAAATGCATTCTTCAAAAAGATGAGATGAATTCAATATAAATCAAACACGAAAATATTTTAAAACAGTAATCATGATGCAATATTAGACTTTTAACACTTTCATCGAAAACCACACAGTTTTTCTCTGTTAACATAGTTTCAAGTGCCAAATTGTGGTCAAATCTAAAATGTTGAAACATGCAGTGCCTATGAATTTCAAAATATCTCCTATATAGCTGTATTTCCACAGGATAAGTAAGTTGAAATAATCTGATTATGTAACACTACAACAGTTTTTTCATCCCCACCCCCCGGTATGGAATCTGATACATTGCTGACCAATCATAGGTCGCCCCGTTCACTCGGGCCTGTCAAATGATTTACAATGGCGATGGTGCCTACAACTTTCCTGACCAAGAGATATGCACAACCGTCGATCAACACACAAGCCATTGATGTTATCTTCCAATATGAGAGGCCATGATAAACACACAAGCGTCCTTTTCAAGCTCGGAAATTAAGTCATCACCAAAAAGCAAAGTTTACAAAGGTCCTCGGGGCTGGAACCCAAACTGATTACGATTTGCCCTCCACTTCCACCACAGGTGTCATAGAGATCAGGGATGAAATTGATATGCATCATCGTTCTCCTAAAGCCAGTTCAGGAAGAGATCAGGTTTTGAGATGTAGACCTGAAATGTTAAATTTGGATGAGAATGAGAATTCTGGGGCGAATACTATCCAGGGAAATGGTCATTGACATCCAGAAAATGGTCAAAATGTGGAATTCTGTCATTCAGTTAAATGTCAAGGGGAGAAGACAGGCCTGTGCAGTACCAAATTTCCAGGCCATTACTATTAGTGAGCAGAAGCGGGGATCAGGTTGGATGTACTTCTTAAAGTGTATGAAATGCACATTTATCTCACCTGTTTTGCTTCTTTTTTTTTAATACTTGTGTTGAGGTCAATCATTCCACTCTATGAAACATTACCTGGGCACCTGAAATGATAGGAGGCTGGGGATAAATATGCAATAAAAAACAGTGAGAAAATAAGAAAAAAATATGGTTTCAACTGGAAATAGAAATAAACCTCTTTATTTCTAGCGAACAGCCCGTCACTGGCCCTCCAAAAAGAAACCAGTTAACAGTCAGTAAAAAAGTAAACCTTGAGTGTCACATAAGTCTAAGCCAATCTCAAAGGTAGATGCCATGTTTTAAGGTTCGGTCTAAATATTAAGGCCAACTGCATGTTTGATCAAAAGTCACACAGGTGTGAATTTTGGAGTGTACATGTTAACATTTCATTGTATGATGTCAAAAACATGTTAGGTCTAAATGTTAAGGCCAGCTGCAGACTTGGTTCAAGGTCACAACATGTAAATAGGGTTAGGGCACATGATTTTTTGACACAATTGTGGGTTTGGGCTAGGGTCAGGACTAGGTCTTGGCTTAGGCCTAGGCTACATGCTTTTTGACAAGATTGTGGGTTAGGGTAAGGTCTTGGGTTAGGGTCAGTCTTGTTTACATCTCGTGACTTTAGACCAAATCTGCAGTTGAGTTGGCCTTAATATTTAGACCTAACCATGTTTTGATATCATTGTGAACAAAATGTTACACATTTACAACCCAAAATTCACACTCAACCAACGGATACCCCCAATCATGGCTATTTTGATACCAAATAGTCAAAAAACTTACTGCTGGGCAATAAAAAAGCAGTATTCTTACCATTTCTGACACTTTCCATTCAAAACTTCAGGAAACAAGCCGTTGAAAAAATATCAACATCCCGAGTCGGCCATGCTTCATTATTTCATCAGGTCTCAGACTAGCAATTATTTGCCCATTGACTTCAATGTTAAATGACTGTAACATCACAGGCTGTAGCTTTTTGCTCAACATTCCGTTGGTTCCAATCTTTATAGGCACAATGGGGACAACATTTGGCAATCTCCTCATCATAATTTTGTAGGGGGTTGACCATTTAGATTTTTTGCTACACAGATTTGAAGTTGACAGGGGTGGAAATCTCACTTCCGACACAATGATTGCTCTGCAGAAAGACACTTTACACCCCCTATCCCTCCGCTGTAATATCATCAGTATAACCCAAAACTGCTATGAAATTGCAAATTTGATCCCTTTTCTCCAATTCTAGACCAAAAAGTCAACCCAAAAATGCAGGAAGAGGGGAGAAAAAAATTAAGGGAAAAATTGTCTATTTATAACTCGCACTACATTCGTCCATCATGAAATAAGGGGAAATAATTACTAGTCTTAGTCCTGCTACAGGGCGTAGTCCAGATTATCAAGCCAAAAAATTGTCAAGCCAATGACTTGCGTCTGAAAAAAAAGACTACGAAAGTTTGTCTACTCTTGGATCTATTTTTCTTTACCGTGCTTTTCATTCGTATAAGTTTTACAAATTGAATAAATGGGATCAAATTTCGGAGAAAGGGTGATTACTGGACGGAGGTGAAAATTTCATGACTTTCCATGATAAAATACTCATATTCCAGGTTTTCCAGGCCTGGAGTTTTCATGGGTGGAATTCCATGACTTTCCAGGTTTTCCAGGAAGCGTACGAACCCTGCTTACATGCACAAATAGATAGATATAATTCTTTGCTGTAGATTTCACTTTTACTGAACATTACGGCGTAGTGATACATCATTTTTTGACAGCAATTCAACCTTTGCAAAGTCCTTTATATTGACCCAGTGTTTCCATCAAGGTCAATTGAATAACAATAGTTCATGTTTAATTTAAAAAAGTTATTTTTAATAAGAAATGAAGGAGATATCGCAGTAGATTATGAAATATATCACACAAGCGATATCTACTGTGGAATGTATTATTGGGTGATAAATCAGGTGTTCCCCATCTTGCCGATATCAATACATCTACCTGAAATAAGATTGTACAACACACACCAGGAAAAAACCCCAAACAAAACAAAAGGAATATTTCAGTATATTTTCATGTTGAAAAGGTAATTGAATTGTTGACTGAACATCTCTCTCTATAATAGGTCAATTTTGAGGTTAAAAAACAACTCTACACACTAAGTTCAGTCAAGGGTGAATTTGTCATGAAGAAGTCGCCTATACTAAAAAAATATCTATATTTTTAAGAAAGCGCAGCCCCGTTTTTGGCACTTTGGAATATGCCTGCTTCAATAAACTAAATTTAAAAACTATTTTTTCTTTACTTCAGTTGAACATAACTTTGAATCTAGGTGGCCTATCAACCCACCCAAACTGTAAACCACTTCAAAGAAGGTAGAGATAATAGTAAGACCGAAATACAACTGTATTCTACCATCATGAAGCTCCCAAACCAATCTCAGTCGATCGGGTCATTGGAAATCAGTGATGATGATTTCGTGGCATTATAAAATATGCTATAATCCATCAAATAAACTAAACGGATTTTGCGATGTATTTCTATTTCATAATCAAAAATTATGAACTTATAACTGTGATTTGTGCCAAATAAATTACGTTCACAATTGACCTTCCTCACGACGATATCTGCAATTTTAATTGGCAGCGAATTCAAATAAACATAAAACTGTACAATTGTTGGAATATTGATGTAATTTATTAGACAAATAAAATTTAACTTCGCTGATATACTTGTTCTACAAGACTTTTTATTTAGAAACGCAATTTCGTTACCAGAGAAAACAGTCACTTGTCACAAAATTATCGGACTGGTTGCAAAATGTATGAACTTTAATATTCCCCTGATCATTACTTTAAATCTTATTTTCAAGAATGTAGATCTGTCTGTAGATCTGGTTTCTTAAATATCCGAAACCAAATAAATAAGAAGTTACCATTGGGTTCGCTTGCACAGAAACTATCCATTCATGCAGCAAGCCAGTGGCAATATTAGCTTTCACTATATTACAGATCTGACAACAAAGTAGCCAAAAGTATAAATCTGTAAGCTGTTTTTCATAAACAAATAACTGTAATTCCGTTACCGCAGAATTGTCCTATGTATTAAATAATGGTATAACAAGCGAAATAGTAAGATGACCCTATCTCAAAAACTTACAATTTGTGATTATATAGATAATGGCATAACCCATCAAATAGTCGGGTGCCCCAAGCTCAAAATCATAGAAGATATTATTAGATAATGACATAACCAATCTGATTAAACACAGAGACTATTTCGTTTCGTTATTTATAGTTCAAAATTCCGTTTTACTTGTCTTTACAACACTGGGGTGTGGAAGAGTTGTTATATAACAGGCGTTCTAGTTGATGTGAGGTATTAGCTAATGAAACAGTCTGTTACGGCGAGTTCTTGGCGTTCTCAGCAGGAAAGTCTGGGTAAACCCCTAGAAACGTCAAGGCTGGTTGATTAATCATTGTCTGATGTCATAGGGCCAAAAGTCGTTCGTATGACCCCTGACGCGACCTCCCAGTACAACTGGTCAAATCGTCATGTAGTGTAGGCCATCGAAAGTTTAAACAAGCCAACAGTGAGGCTGATGTCCCCCGCCGAAATTGCAAAATAAATAGATGACACATATTAATTAATCGCACATTTATTTTTTTCACTAAGTTTCATCACTCTCTATCAGATAGAATCAAGATTATCTTGTCCCAAACCATCGACAAATGAAATCGATTAGCTCTGCTTAGCTTCAGCTCGAAATGTTAATTATTGAACTCAGTCAAGACATTCACCTAATGAACATCTACATATACATCAAGTTTAAACATTCACCTAATAGACACCTATGCCAAGTTTGAACATTCTACTTCAATTAGAAGGAGAGTTATTGTGTTCCAAAGTTTCTACCAATCAAATTGCTTATCACTCTGCTTACCCTCAGCAAAAAATGTTCATTATCGAACTTAGTTAAGGTATTCATATAATAAATCTATACACCAAGTTTCATCAATCTCACTTAATTAGAACTAAAGTTATCGTGTCCCAAAGCATCAACCAATCAAATTGCTTATCTCTGCTTACCCTAAGCGGAAAATGCTCATCTTCGAACTCCATCAAGGCATTGACCTAATCAACACATACACCAAGTTTGAACATTCTAGCTCAATTAGGAAGAGAGTTATCGTGCCCCAAAGTATCAACCAATCAAATTGCTTATCTCTGCTTACCCTAAGCGGAAAATGCTCATCTTCGAACTCCATCAAGGCATTGACCTAATAAACACATACACCAAGTCTGAACATTCTAGCTCAATTAAAAGTTATCGTGTCCCAAAGCATCAACCAATCAAATTGCTTATCTCTGCTTACCCTAAGCGGAAAATGCTCATCTTCGAACTCCATCAAGGCATTGACCTAATCAACACATACACCAAGTTTGAACATTCTAGCCCAATTAGGAAGAGAGTTATCGTGTCCCAAAGCATCAACCAATCAAATTGCTTATCTCTGCTTACCCTAAGCGGAAAATGCTCATCTTCGAACTCCATCAAGGCATTGACCTAATAAACACATACACCAAGTTTGAACATTCTAGCTTAATTAGAACTAAAGTTATCGTGTCCCAAAGCATCAACCAATCAAATTGCTTATCTCTGCTTACCCTAAGCGGAAAATGCTCATCTTCGAACTCCATCAAGGCATTGACCTAATCAACACATACACCAAGTTTGAACATTCTAGCTCAATTAGGAAGAGAGTTATCGTGCCCCAAAGTATCAACCAATCAAATTGCTTATCTCTGCTTACCCTAAGCGGAAAATGCTCATCTTCGAACTCCATCAAGGCATTGACCTAATAAACACATACACCAAGTTTGAACATTCTAGCTCAATTAAAAGTTATCGTGTCCCAAAGCATCAACCAATCAAATTGCTTATCTCTGCTTACCCTAAGCGGAAAATGTTCATCTTCGAACTCCATCAAGGCATTGACCTAATCAACACATACACCAAGTTTGAACATTCTAGCCCAATTAGGAAGAGAGTTATCGTGTCCCAAAGCATCAACCAATCAAATTGCTTATCTCTGCTTACCCTAAGCGGAAAATGCTCATCTTCGAACTCCATCAAGGCATTGACCTAATAAACACATACACCAAGTTTGAACATTCTAGCTCAATTAGGAAGAGAGTTATTGTGTCCCAAAAAGTGTGACGGACAGACAGACGGACGGACGGACGGACGAACCCATTTTAATAGTCCCCTGCTTTCTTCGAAAGGCGGGGGACAAAAAACGAAATATAGATCTGTATTTTAATCAGATTATGACATAACATGCGAAGCAGTCGGATGGCTCAAAATTTTGGAAGATATGATTAGATGATGAAATAGTTAGGTGGCCCTAGCTCAAAATAATACAAGATATGATTAGATAAAAACATAACATTAATAACAAGCGAAATAGTCGGGTGGCCATAGCTCCAATCATTACAAAATATACTTATATAATAACGTAAAAAGAAAAACAGTCAGTAGATGTGATACAAAAACTAAAGCCATTGCTCCACTTTGAGCAGGCTCAAAACATGCATCTGGTGTAAGCTTTCCTGCCATTTTAAGATCAGTTTCCCTGGTAATGCTTCTGTCACATCCAGGTATTACGGTTGTGTTTTGCAAACAGGAACGTACGTATTCGATTTGGCTGTAAAATATATTTATATATAATATTTAATTCATCAATGCGCACCATGTGAGTATTTTACTAGTGTAATGTTATATAGTGTTAAGTATAACGTAAGTAGTTAATTGAGAGGACTGAATCAGTATGTAAGTTAAGCTTTTCTAATTATTTAAGTGATCTGCCCATCGAGGGAATAAACATGTGCATCTTTTAATGGTGTTGTCTGTAATGAATCCGATGAAGACTGAGAAATAGAGACACATTACAGTAATGGCGTGGTGGTAGGAAATAAGTAAACGTATTCCACGAAGGCCAATAATATAAATATACATCGCCCAATTCCCAGCATACATATTCTGCATATGTATTTTTTAAATATATATATATATTTTTTTGTTTTGTAACATGCATTATAATTTATTTGTTGCTTACCGACAATAATAGTTTTGTTTGACTGTATAACCCTCCACATCGTTAGGTGGTGCTAGATTATGTTCTGCCATCTTTGCTGTTAAACAGTGGTAGAGATATTTATTTCCACAAGTTCTATCTGGAATAAAGTAGATTTTTATACATCCACACATTGTTAATGTTACCTGCCACAGGTACAATTCAACGTTAGCGATTTCCACCGTTCTCAGTGAGTAGTCTTAACTATTCGCCG